GGCTTTTCCAGTCTGGGTAGAAAATGCAATTTGGTCAAGGTGGAACATTTCAGCAATCATTGAACTCGACTGGGTTCCTGCCAGCCTCAGTTACCAAAGACAGAAATGCCATATTTTATTTACCTGCATCGTCTGGATGGCCAATTTAAAACCAATGTGTCAAGTGATGAAAAATAAATGGACAAATATCCTATTCCTTTATTTATCCTTGATCTGTCTCTCCCTGCTCAGTTTCTTTTCTTTTCTTTTTATACCTCCAATAACTTTTTACCTTTACTCACCCACTTACACCCAATATCCAATCCAGATTCCTCATTGTCTCCTTCCATTAACTTCTCTCACTCTCACCTTCCCTTCTTTCTGCCCTCTCCAGGTCTTTTGGGCGTTACAACTGGTAACAGTGCTGGTTCCTGGAGCGGTCTTCCACCTCTACGCAGCCTGTAAGAACATTGACCAGGAGGAGATCCTCGAACGACCGATCTACACCGTCTTCTACATCATTTCTGTTCTTCTACGCATCATTCTGGAAGTCATCGCTTTTTGGCTACAGAGCCACCTCTTTGGCTTCCAGGTCTGTACATTTCTAATAATATAACATCTGATGAACTTGATAGAATGTTTCTCCATGTAACAGTTATGAATTCAACCTTCCATTTTCAAGTTGCCTCTCATCATTTTGGTGACAAAGGGCATGACGATTCCCCTTACAACCTTCTACCCAGAATATTCCTTCAGTTCCTCCCGGCTAGTACCAAAGCTCTCCCCTGCCAGCCAGGAGATTTAACCTCCCAGCATTTCTAAAGTTGCCGAAGGTCCCTTTCCCAGGTCATAATACCTAGATCACCTCTAAAGATATGGGAATAGGGGACACCCTTACTAGGTGCCCGAATCACATCTCTTCATGCAAAGGAGCAATAGTGGATTCATATCATCAAGATCCTCAAAACAATGGACTTTGTGAGGCAAGCCGCCTCTTGGAGAAACCTGAATCAGTGCAGTTGTCAAGAGCCTGGTTTCATACCAAAAGTTAGGAAGTAGTTTCTCACCCAATGACCAATCTTTTCAAAAAGTTGCACCAGGGCAACATTTAAACATGGTGGATTAAACATCTAGTCAGTCAAATCAGTCCAATCAAGGTCAGCAAAGGAGGACCATTTGGCTCTGCTCCTGTTGACACTGAACAAAAGGAAGTTTGCAATGCATGTGGTCAACCCAAGAGGTGGATTGAAGAGTGCTGTTTGGGTCCACCAATGTATCCATGCATCCACCCTCTCTGGTGTCAATGAAACCAGCTCATGGTGTCAGGAAATGGCCAAGGCCTGGTCTTTAACATGGTTATTATGCCAGCAGGATGATGTCCAAGATCACAGAAACTCTTCACATTTCAAGATGGTTCCAGGAACATGATAGTCATTTTCCTTCCATACCCTATACTACAACAAAAAGAGTGGTCGTGATGGTCCTACCCAGTACATGTAAGGTACTGTTAGCAAGTACTTAATCAGCCAGTCTCAATTCCATGGTGTCAAAAAAGAACCTTAACCATGATCTTTTCCTAATCCTCACCAAGTGGTTTTGTTGCTTAAACGTAACTGCTGACCCCCTGCGTCAAAATACAATACAAAAGGCTTGCCTCAGTGTCATGATTCCAGGGGCTTTAGCCCAAGGGTCATCATTCAGTATCATTCAGTGGTAAGACTGAGAATATTCTCTGGCAAAATTGCACAGTGCCATTAACATTTTAGAATTGGAAGTTCAGACAACCTTGAAAGTATTACCACCTCATGTTTCTCTTTTTTTCTCTCAGGTCCACCCGCTGTATATGTGTGATGCCAGTGCTTTGGAAAAGGTCTTTAATGTGACTAAGTGCATGGTGCCCGAACACTTTGAAAAAACCATCTTCCTCAGTGCCATGTACACCTTCACTGTGATCACCATACTTCTCTGTGTTGCTGAGATATTTGAGATACTCTGCCGACGGCTTGGCTATCTCAGCAACCAATGACACATACACACATGCATACATAAAATGACTAAGGGTGAAAATATATGACACTTATTCTGCCAGTTTTTATCGGGCTCTTGGTTAGCTACTGCTGGACTTTTATGAAGCAGGAAGCTGGCGTAAGAGCATAACCTCACCTGTGGTCCATCGTGAGTGAGTTGCACCAAGAAATCTGAGAATGTGCAACAATGTCATAGCTGGCTAGTCTGAAATATTCTCTAGGTGTTTTTTGCCCTTAACTATAGAGTGATCATCCCTAGTCGTATTTCAGATATCAGTGGGTCTGTACTGGCTGTGTCCAGGGGTCTTGTATGGACGTGATGGCCAGAGAATATGCACCTCTGACTCTGAACCGTTGGAGGATGGGAAAGAAAGATTTCTGTTTTTATTTTTTCCACAAGATGACTGAAGGACAGGCATCAACTTCAGGGTGCTACTAATACCTTTGACCATGGTTGAATTAGAGCACAAGGAAGGCGTAGTTTGTCATGAACTTGGTGGCCCATAACAGTTTGAGGGTCCCTCGACCCTGTTCTTGTTGTTGTACCAAGTTGTACCTCAGATCAGATACTCTTACAAAGAAACACTCTGGAAGCATCAGCTGCACACATTTTTGCCAAATGTTTAAGGGCCTGGAGTGCACTAAACACATCAAGGTTCATCGACCAAACTTGATGCACCTTTGTTGGGCTATGTTCCCTTATGGCATGCCAACAATGAACCTAAAAAGCTCTTTTTCAGGAGATTTCAGAAAGCTTTTATGAAAAGGTACAAAGTTTTAATGTAACATGCTAACAGCCAACAATGCAAATGTTTTAGCTACACACATAATTCTGTATGAAAGTGCAGATAAACACTATAGTCTCGCTTGTCTTCCTGGTGCTGATCAAACATGACAAGCAGATTATAGAGCTGGCAATGGATTATCACTCATGTCATTCTTAAGACACTGTGATCCAGTAACCTTACCCATGGGCCAGTGAACTGCAGGTGCCAGTGTTCCTGACACTTCCATGTGTGACAGTTATCGCTTCCAATATGTGTCTGTTATTGCTTCCAGCTGGTTCTGACCTTTACTTCCATCAACATGAGTGCCGCAACTTTGTTGTTGACTTTTTGATGGAGGTTGTCTGCCTTTTCAGATATGTGTTTCAGCTTGGCGGGTCTTAAACAACCTTCAGCTTGACTTGCTGTCTCAAAACAGGCCCCCCAACTCATGCACCAGAAAGGCTAAAATTATGATGCCATCACTAAAAATGGTATCACTCTTTGAGGGTAAAGCTCTCCCCATAGATAAAAAGCATTTAATGGGTTGATGTAATAGTCTAAAGATAATAATTAAACACTTTCTGGCTTTTATTTTGAAACTTTAAAGAAATTTATAGTCTGAAGAATCAGCGACTTACACAAAAATATTATTGAAATTTGGATATACAAATGTGTTGGAATGAAAACATATAAAATATTTAACAATTGTAAAAAAAAAAAAAAAAAAAAGCAATGTTTTTAAATGTCTGAAAAATGTATCAACTGCTACTAAGAAGAAATACTGCACAATTTTTGTGCTTAACGGATGTCCCAACATCCAAGGTGAGACTGAGGAGTTCTCAAATAGCAGTAGTTCTTAACAGACTTGGACAAAATCTGCATAAAAATTTGAAGTTTTTAGAGTTTCAAGGCCCTGTTGGTCTCATTTACAATATAATAACTTTTATTTTTATGGCTGAAATACGAAGCTAAGTGCTCATTCAGTCCAGATATATTTGAAACGATGGTTGATCTTTTGACCATGTCTGATTCCCAACCATCTCTCCTCATCAAGGGTGTCCTCTACCCCCCCACTCTCTTTACATTACCGTTTCCTAGCTTATAGTATTACACATAATACTTTATGTAACTGTGCCTTCGGCGTCACTGTCAGTGTATTTTGAAAAAGATTACCTCTCATGTTTTGTAATGTTTTTTTTAATCAGACATCCATCCAACTTTTGTTATGAAGTTTTCAGCAATCTGTTTATCATCTCAGGTACAAAATTGCATTACCAGACAAAAGTGGATCAAACCCTCATTTCAAATCCTTTTTAAACCCTTAAATAAGCTTTTCTGATACTGAGGGACCACTCCAGTTGATCCCAACCAACAGTACCAAAGGCCCAGTTGGACTAATAGGCTTTAAGAGGATTTGAAACAGGTATGTGACTCCTGTGGTTTGGGTTCGTCTGCGTTCTGGTATTTGTTTGTGGAGGATGGTTTTAAATTTTGCCTCTGAAAGTTCCTTCACCAAGACTAAGGCCTTGTTTATATTAATGTAATATAGCCCATAGAATCACACATCTGTACTGTTCGGGTCAGATAGAACAATGTGGCATGTTAACGAGATTGATATGATCTGGAGCCATTTGGTGGAAATGTAGCGCTGATACAAAATTGTCGTACTCTGGATCAGTCCTGGATATCTATCTCCGGTAACGTCACTCAATTCATTACGGGAAAAATGTTAAAAATACAAACTCACTTGATGTTAGGTCATCTTAGCAGGTTTTAAGAGAAAACTCAACCACATCTCTGAGTTTATCTCAAGGGGTTACCGCCTGGTCACACCAGTATTTAAAACAGTTCAAAGAAAATCAAGTCATCTCAATCTGTTCACCATAGTGTTGTGTACAAATCTTTTACGCTGCCTTTGAAGGCACAAATAAGTCTCGTGATAGGACTAGGTATAAGTACTCAATGAGGTATCGACCAAAATAACCCTCCAGTCAAACTACCCGTGCATTCTATCCTCTTTGTACACAGATATAGAAAAACTATTTGTACAGTGCTAATAGCATCTGCCAAAAAAGAAAGGTATCAAATTAAGTACTCTATTGGTATCAGTATTTTTTCGGGGTAATGGTACTGGTATCCTAATCAAAAAAACAAACAAGCCCTATCTCTTGAATAAAGTAAGTCACGGTTAGCCGCCAAGCTTGCTAGCTCACTAGCTTACAGTTAGGAAGCCAACTAGCACGCAGAGCTTAACTGTTGCTGGCCTGTTTGCAGCAGGCTAGCAGAATAAACAGCTAGCGTGCAATGGATGAACTAGCTGTGCCCCTTTCTGGTGTGACCAGGCCATTATGCTAATGCTATTAGCAACTGTAATCTTGACTAAGTGGGCCAGGAGCTAACCATTTACAATAGAAATACATGCTTAAACCCTCATAAGGTAACATTCGGCTCATTTGGCCAGGGTTCAGGTTTTATTTTTTGTTTTATAATAAAAGTTATAGACAGCCTTAAACCTGCGGGCTAGTCTTGGTAAAGAACTTTGTACATGGAGCTGTGGTTACCTGTCTTAGAATGACTGACTTATAAGCAAATGATGTATTCTGACAAATTTGACTCGTTGATAAGATTGGATTTTTTTCTTTTCTTTTTTTGTCTTAAACAGAACTTGACACACCCCCTGATTTTTTAAATAGTGCCACCAAATCCCAAAGTATTATTTTATGAACTTGACTGAGTTGTAAAATATCAACATTTCATTGGGTGTTCTGAGTTATTTGTGGTAGCATTTCTAAAATCAAGGCGTATCTTGAATATGTCAACTATGATGCATGGTACAGAACACTACACTGAAAATTCAACATGAATTTTTATATCTTTGATTTTTACTAATGTTGTTACAGGTTAGCTGTGAAAATGGACTCATTTCCTTTTTCATCAACTGTTGTCTGTCTCTGTATTGAACTCATTTTGTCCCTCACCACATGCCACTATGTCAAAGAAACAGAGGCACACTTTATGACCAACTCATACATATTGAAAGGAAACTGTCTCTCTGTTTGTCTGAATGCTTCTGTTCAGGTGACCAGTTATTCTCCTATTTGTTTTGTCTTGAGATGATTGATTAAAAATGTCCTACAATTGTCTTTGTTTCATTTTTGATTGAGTCATTGACTTGAGTTGGAAGTATCTACTATAAAAGGGTTTCAGAAGGAATTTACAAAAAGCAGTGATTACCTTGTTAAAACATTACATAAAATAATTTGACCAATTACTTTGTTTTTTTATATATTCATTTTTTTTAAAGTTTGTCTTACTCTAGCAACATATATTTCTATGGTGGAACTGTCAGCCCAGTAACAAAGTCCAAATGGTCTCTTGGATGAACTGAAATTTGATACAAAGGTTACTGATCCCCAGAGGATGATTCCTGCTGATGTTAAAGATTCCTTGATTTTTTAAGCATTACCACGTCACCTGAGCTGAATGCTATTATAAGCATGCATTAGCAGTACACTTGAGTTTTGGGTTAATAAACTAATTATTAAGTGGTGTAAATGGTCCCCCGCTGATGCTGTAGAAGATGAGATAAATGGATGGAGAGAGACTGAATCTTTGGGAAAACAGGAGAAAGTCATTAGGTACACGTCCACTGCTCGTCAGCAGTAAACACAGCACAGCCCCATTTTAACTGACAGCTCTCATAAATCAGATTACATTAATTCATATGGAGCTTTAAACAAAACAAGTCTGATAGACAGCAGAAAGGACAGAGTAGGTGAAAGGAAGGAGACTTCCAGACACATGCAACATGGTCTGTCTCTGGACACGTGGACTGAGCTCGTCATATGTACCACAGCATGTCCGCCTTCATCATGATGTTAAAACTGTGAGGACGCTGCAACAAGAGGGGAACAAATAAGCGACAAGATGGGACTTCAGACCTCATTTGTCTCCATGGATATGAATGGGCCCATCATGTTCTTGTCCCTGTAACTCATCTCGCAGTACATTTCTGAATGCTTCTTGGCATAGGCAGTTTCTGCTCAGACATGTTCAGGGTCTGCTGACGAACACAACACAGAGGGACGGTTCATATGCACAGGACACTTTGTCATTCATAATAAAATTGCAAATGTCCTTTTAAAATCTTTTTTCCTTTTCTTAGCTGGATGGAAACCAACTTTTACCTCTCTAAGACTTAAATTATAACAAACAATTATTTACAAATTATTTACACATTATTAAAATATCTTAGTCATATGTTTATTTTAAATTTTCTATTCTATATTTATGTTACTGAGTGATGCAGTGCTTTGCCTCATTTTTATTCCTCTTAATGTTTTTTGTATGTTTAACGTATGCACCAAGAAGCAAGTTCCTTGTAAGTGAAAACCTTTTCAGTGATAAACTCTTTTCTAATACTGATTTTAATTCTGAAATTGTGAATTTGGACAGCCCTTAACGCTAAAGCACTCCACAGGAAGTCTTCATGAGAAGGACGTCTGGATACAAGAAGACTTAATTACCACAAGGGGTTTTTAAAATAAATGTCCTCTGACTGTGCAACTGTCATAATCCAGATGAGAGAAAGATGTTAAAACATACAGGCTGTTAGGTACGGAAGACAAGAACGGCCATGTATTTTTTTTATTTTTTTTTTGTGCACTGTTATCTCATGATAACGACTTATTATTTTGCCCCGGCGTTTAATCAGACCGGCGTTTAATACGCAAAATGGGGTCAAACCCCCGGCGGCTATTTGCCACCGGGCGACTATTTGGAAATATACGGTATGTGACAATAATCATATGTGTATAATAATAGTAAAAGTGTGACTAATGATAACAGCAGCAGTAGGAGGCATCTAGCAGGACCACGGCAGCTCTTAGGCTGAAATCAAGACGATCACATTAACCAGTGCGCAATCATCAGATTTGACAATTATCACAGGAAAACAATCTTTGTTATATCGAGATAACGAAACAATAAGTCGTTATCATGAGAAAACAGCGCACCAAAAAAAAGAAATACGTGGCCGTTTTTGTCTTCCGTAGTTAGGGACATATCAAGCAGCAACCTCCAGGCTGAAAGATAATACCAAAACTGCAGTTCCTCTAACGTCCACTTGGGGCTGGCTCTAAGACCGAGCCAATACCCATCAGACCCCCATATTAAAATGTCCAACTTTACAGCAGAAATAAACATGTTTACAGCCTGGTACAAAAAACTGTTTGGTCTCTGTAGCTAATTTAAACATGCATGACAACTGTACAGGGCTGAATTCTTACATAACTCACCTGTTTACATTTCATGAAGGCTTAAAGTTACACATAATTAAGGATGGGCTGCTTTCAGTGACAGGCTGTCTGCCAGCAGTGTCTTTGGCTTCTCAGTCAGATCCACCCCTCACTCCTCCACAGCTCCACCCTCTCACCCAAATACAGTCACTTCTGGCTCCAAAAAACCAAGCTGGCAACAGACAAAATGCTGAACTTAAGGCTTCAAAACGACAGTCCACAACCCAATAGATGACAACATGGTTGCTACCATTCATAACCCAAAAAACTGGTTGTAGCTTCTCTGCCTACTTTTGGGATTAAAACTAGAATCAAACACCCTGTGGTTGTGTGACTCCGCCCACCAGTCCAGTGTCTCTGACAGTCTCCATCCATGTCAGTTGAAACATGGATGCTTCACACACAGAAGATCTATACAGTCAGCA